TACTTTGTGGTTAAAAACAGCATCATTCTGAGCTTTCCATATGTACCAGATTATCCATGTTATTAGAGAAAGAACCTTCTCTTCCAGATCAGAGTGATCACATAGTAATTCAGCAAGCCAGACCTGGAAAGATTGAATGACATTTGGATCAGTTCTCAGTGACAGTTGGCTTCCATACCTAATGCATCTTACCCACGGGCAGTAAAACAGTAGGTGTTCTACGGTTTCAGGTTCAGAATGACAAATCTGACAAAGAGGGTTGACTGAGCAGTGGCGTTTAAATAGAGCGTCTCTAATTGGGACTGCCTTAGAACAGCATCTCCATACAAATTGAAAAATCCTCGGTATAGTTTTAATCTTCTAAAGCCTCAGCTAGCATTCCTTTGGGAAGGAGAAGGAGGTGCTGCGTCTGGAGTTGATAGCATTTTGTCCCGACATAGTTTTTAGCCCTGTTTGACTGAATAGCTCCCATTACGAACTCTAGACCCAAACCATACACCCAAACCAACAGGACATAGGCGAAACAAGCGACAATGCAACCAAAAATGAACAACCACGACGAGCATAGCAGATTGTTTGGCATGTTATATTTGTTTTCATTATTTGAACTTTTTTTTAAGCTAAATGGGAATCTAAAATAAATCTATAAGGTACTGTTTGATATGTTGGAAATACAGAGAAAGGGAGGGAAGAAAATTTTTTAATGAATTCTATTTAAAAAATTAGAAAAATGGGATTTTAGAATTTTAATAAAGAGAAAAAGTAATATAAAAGAATAATAAAAATTACTTAAAAGCTTTTAACCACACTTTTTTAATTTTTTAAATCAAACTTATTAAAAAAATTTCTCCTTTCTCTTCTCTTGTATTTTCCTTATACCAAACGGACTCTAGATAAACAGATTATTCGGATTTAAGACTATCCCTAAATATAAATAGCTAATTACGAATGACCTAAGAGAGAAATAAAATAATCATTGACAAATGTCAAAAGTACTCCGACCTTTTAATATATACTTGAAGATTTTTTTTTTTAACTTTCCCAATATTTTATTTAACTAGAGATATCATATATATCTTGGACTATTTGTGAATTTTTAATCCTTTTCGTTTTCTTTTATTTTATTATCTCTTTTGTTAACGTATTTTACTATTTTTTATTTTGAATATTTAATTAAGCGAAACTCAGCATGTTGCTAAAATAAAATTCAGCTAGAAGAAGGCTATATATACCTGGATAATAAGTTTGGAGAGCTCAAATAAATATATGAATAGACTAAATGAATTTAAAACAAGAGTAAAACTTAAACTCAGCCTAGGGGATGTTTGGATGTAACTAAATCATGATTTAAAGAATAGCTTCTGAAGAATAACTTTTGAAAGAATAAATTTTGAAAAAAATGATTTTGATAAAGTGAGAATATTTGGATGATTGTTATTAGAATCTTTTTTTTCACGTATAAATTACTAAAAAGACATAGGTTAATATGATAATTAGATAAAAAATAAATTTTAATTTATATTTTTTGAAATAATAAATTTCTACATAATAAATTATGTATAAAAAATATAATTAATTAATATTATCTCTGGTTTTAGTATAAGAGCTAATTAGTTATTCAATTTGATTTTGAATATAAGACACCAATCTACCTTGTCTCACACATTTATCCATTTTTTTCAAAAAATAGTCCTCATATTAATTTGCACATGTTAAAGATTATATCAAATTATAATCCCAATGCACATCATTAACAAGTATTTTAGAGAATGCAAAACTTATTTATTACTCCCTCCGTTCCTTATTATAAGAGACATTTGATGCTTATAGCATGTTCCTAAATATAAGAGACACTTAAAAGTTGTCTCTACTTTTTTGTGTTGATTTTCTATTTTACCCATATTTATTGTCTCCAACTCACACTCTCTCTCCTTTCCACTTCTCTTTCTTTTAAGAATTTACTATTGTTCTCTCTCATGCTCTCTCTTCTTATTAATGAGGACATTTTTGGAAAAAAAAGTTATACTTTTTACATATTAATTGTTCTTAACTAATTTTAACTGTTTTTTTGATCAACGTAATTCGGTTATTCGTCTCTTATAATAAGGAACGGAGGGAGTATAAAACAAATAATTTAACTAATTTTTTTAACATTTACAAATTAAGTATATAGCTTTTATATTAAAGATCGAAGGTAGTCATTGATATGTGTGTGTATTTATATATTTATATCCCAAACCATGGTTTTGTAACTTTAAAAAGAAAAAAAATTCACTTTATGAAAAACCATGGTTTTCAAATCAAAAGTGATTTTGCAAAAAATCACCATATTTAGTTACTCTTATTCAAATCATGGTTTCAAATTTAAAAGTAATTTTGAGAACATATATCATGTTTGGATGTTTTTTTCTCTCTTCAAAACCAGGTTTAAAGAAGCACCCAAATACTTCCTTAAGTGTATATTAGGCCAAATTCTCCAACTACGCTAAAGGCGTACCAGCTATAGCCCTGTGGCACGACTCAGCAAAAAAAAAAAGGGGTCAATTTGGGCCAATTGACCTGCGCAAGAAAGATCCAATCTGAGCCATAGACTTTGAACAGTACAAGGATTAGATGAACCCAACAACAGGGGCTGTTCTTTTGACCCATTCACTAACCCATAGTGACAAATTATTATTTATGCCCCTTGTATAAAAAAAATTACTCCTCTGGTCCTTAAAGTAAGATCTAATTATTAAGTTGATTTTGATTCTAAATATAACACCTATTTATTATATTTATTAATTTTTTTTCTAAATTACCCCTATTGATACTCCCAAGCATAATCAAGTAAAAGAGGAAGGAATGATATTAAAGAAGATAAATATAGTGTTTTAGAAAAAACATGTTATATTTCTTATAACTAACTAACTTATCTAACTTTGTTAATCTAATCAAATTAATTAAATAGTCTCATATTAAGGACCAGAGGAGTATTATTTATGTCCTTGGAATCCCACACCGCGAGACAGTCAATTTTGACACACCTATGCAATATCACAATCGTTGCTTGATAATTCAACTTTAATCTAAAAGCCACCTAATGGTAGAGAACAAGACTTATCATACGCAATAAACGAACCAAGCAAAGCACCTAGCAACTTTGCAACCTTCACTGTATAGTAATCCAAAGTTGAACAAAAAAATTTGAATCCAAATATTATATCCTTGAAGCAAATCCTGGCACAAGACCAAAGAGGAAATACATGACGAAGATCTTCAGAGGCATTACCATAAAGATAGAGAAATGATGCACTAGTGAGGAAATAAGGATAGTCACTATCATCAGAGGTTGGGTATGTCCATAAGAACTAGGGTCTTAATGGTTTGGAATAGTTTTTCAGAAGTGATTTTATGAAGTTTGATGTAAGTATGTAGGAGAAGTTTTGTGAAAACACTTTTTTTAAAGTGATTATAAGGGTTCCAAAACACCGATAAAAAGAAACTTTATTCCCCACTCCATAATGATCTCATTGCTTTTAACGTATTTGTGTGCACACATTTGTTTAAGGGAAAAAGACAAAAAAATGCAACTTAAACTTCAAAATACCTGAAACATCTGCCCAATATGAAAAATCCTGGTTTGGTGTCCTAAGACCAAATTGGCATTATGTTGTTAAATGAAAAGACCACACTACCCTCGTCATATACAAAACGTGGGCACCACATGGGCACCACATTAAGCTGCACACCGAAGGAAGATAGGCGGGAAGGAAAAGAGAGAAACGTGCACAATTCTAGCTGGTCGAAGGTGACGAGAAGGTGGTGGTTCGAAAGGGTAAGTGTTTTTTTGAAATCATATGACTATTTCATCCTCTATGCATGACTATTGCGGTCTGTTTTCTTCATTTTGGTGGTCCTGCATTCTGTATGAGGCGTTGAGGGTTCAAAGGAGGTAAGGGGTGGCATTACATAAGGTGTACATTCTTCATATTAGGCTGTTGGTTTTTCCTTTTTTAGGTGTAAGAATGGTCAACAATCTGAACAAATGAGTTGATTAGTGTTAGATAAGGATAGGGTTCTGGGCAAGTTAGTTTTGTTAGCTTAAGAGGGAGATGATGCTGCAATAATCGCAAGTTGATTCACCTTGGGCTATTGGTTGTTGTTTTTAACTTGTGGGAATAGTTAGATATTGGAACGTATGAGTTGGTTAGTGAGGGATAGAGTTAGCTTAGTATGGGATGGTGTTTATAATGATCTGTTTTTGAAGATGGCAAATGGTAGTTGAGGGAAATTGGAAGAAATTCCATGATGATCACGTATACAGGAAGGCTGAATATCAATAATAATGACGTTGTGAAGTGTGTTGTTAATAGTTAAAGTGGAGTTGTGAAATGATATATTTTAGTTGTTAACTTTGAAAGTGGCTGTGTTGGGTTTATGAAATATCTTTTTTACAAAGATGATATTGTGATGAAATATTTTCCTTGTTTGTTGCAGGGTATAATGCAAAATGACATGCAATATTGGGTCAACATATTCAAAGACACTTGCGTTGATTTTTCATCTTGGTGGAAATTTTGTTAACAATGTTGAAGGTGAAATGAAATACAATGGTGAGAGTGTGAGAGTTAAAACGATAAAACAAGAGATAAGACATGAAGAGTTGATGTCAATGATATTGGAATGGTTTGATATCGATGTTAATATTTTTGACATGAAATATACAGTGAGCTTCGATGATAAGGCATTAGTAGATTTGGTTGATGATAGTGAAGTTGATAATCTTTTTCAATACAATGACACTAGTGCACATGTGTATCTAGCATCGAAGGAGAGTACACCAGAAGTAATGGATGATCCACAAATGTGAGATATGTTTTTTCATGGTTATTGCAATTGTTATTTGTTATATTGTTATTATGAATTTGCTAACAAAAGTTGTAATCATGCATGCAGCATCGACAACTTCTTGGGATTGTCACAACAAAGGTATTATTTTGTCAAGTTGTCAAAATAATATGGACGGAACTGTTTGTGACGAAAATGGGGGTGACTGTGTAAGAGAAGGTGGTAGGGGATGTCATGTGAGGCCAGTAAGTACAGTAGAGATTGCACCACCACCCATACCCGAGATGAATACTGTGAAGTGGAAGGAATTGTTGTTAGGAAAGAAGCAAACTTTTGCAAATGTTACAGAATTCAAAAAGACAGTATATAAGTTTAGTATTGCAGAAAACTTCAAGTACAAATATGTCAAAAATTGTGAGGAATGTGTGCATGTGAAATGCAATATTGAAGGTTGTCCTTGGTGGATAATAGCAAGAGCAACTACGAATAGAAGTCCTTTCCTCATTGTAACTCAACTCAAAAATGAACATGTGCATAATGCCCAAGAAATTATGCAAGTTACACATGGTGGAAGAGTAGCTTTGACATCATCAATTATCATTGAGGAGGTAAGGAATCATACAGATAAGCGTCCAAATAAAATAAGGAGGACCTTGGCAAGGGGTTATGGTGTAAAGTTGACATATAAGCAAGCATATAGGGCTAAGGAAAAAGCATTAAAGGAAATACAAGGGAGGCCTGAACAATCATACATGTTGATACCATGGATATGTCAACGATTAAAGGAAACCGATAGGAAGACAGTTGCTGAATGGGTAGCAACTTTTAACAACACATTTGAGCGCATTTTTATAGCATATGGTTGTTGTGTAGAGAGTTTTTTGTCCGAGGCAATACATATACTGTATATAGATGGAACACATTTGAGTGGACCATATAGGGGAACACTGCTATCAGCCTCAGCATATGATGCAAACAATGAATTGTTACCATTCGCATATGCTATTGTGAATGGAGAGACTTATGAGGAGTGGGCATGGTTCCTAAATATGATAAAATAGATAGTTGGTGCAATCCAATTAACTATTGTGTCAGATCGTCACAATGCAATAATAAGAGCTGTTGGAGCAATATTTGGAGGTGATAGTCATGCATACTGTTATAGGCACGTGAAGGAAAATTTCAACTCTGAAATGAATAAATTATACAGAGGTAGGAGGAGAACTAGTGGTATTAGTAAGGAAGTTGGATTAAAGTTGCTTGATGACATTACATATGCCAGGGTTAACTTTGAGTTTGATAAGGCAATGACAAGGGTGGGAAATTTCAGTCCTCATTTATTTTAGTGGCTTAACAATCATGGTGATATTCATAAGTATCCAATGAGCAAGTTTCCATATAAATGGTGGGATAACACACCACCCTTAATAACTTCTCACCAACTTTTGCACTTGAAGTTGGAGCTAGAAATGTGCTAAGTGTGACCAACATAAATAATAATTTGAAATGCTCATCACCCGTCCTACTTTTTATGTCAGCTAATATCTTGCTATAAACAATATTACCATACTTTCTCCTTAGCTTCTTATATGTGTCATGATTTTCATCAACATCTCCTTTTACCTCTTACCCAATATAGGGCACACCAAGCAATGTTCCCACATCATTGGTGTAACATCCTTAAAAAAAAAAAAAATAAAATAAAGTTATTTTTTTAAAAAAAAATATATTATATAATATTTTATTATTATTAAATAATAATATTTTATTCATTTAAAAAAAAAAAAACAATACACCCCAACTTTTCCACCAAAGTCGGTGGAAAAGCAGGGTGAATTGAAGGCGAAGAAGAATTTCGATCGGGTAATTAAAGAGGGAGGAGGAAAAAATGGCGAAGGATAATAAATGAAGGTAGAAAAACTTGGGGTGGACGGTTGAAATGAGAATGATAAATAGAGGAGGGAGTGTTACGTAGAATAGAGAAAGAGAGGGTGAGAGACGCAGGAAGAAAAACAAAGAACAAGAGAGTGAGTGAAGATTTCTGCAAGGACGTGCTAGCATTTGGGGATCATTTAGGTACATAAAAATACTTCTTTCTATTAGATTTCTTTTATGAATATTTCCTATATATTTAGAGCTTTATATTAGTAGTATCATTATAATGTTTAGAGAAAATTTTGTGATTTGGGTATAGAGTAAGTATTGAGTTTTGAAAATATTTGACCGTAGGAATTTAAAGATTTATTATTAAGAAATTTTAATCGGTTTAGATTTGTCCATTTAGTACCTATGGTATTTAAAATCAAATTTATTTTGTTGAAAAATCTGTCACTTATGATATATATCATATTTATACCGATTAAAATTAAGTTAAATAATTTATTTGGGTTGTTTGATATATTATTGAAATTTTAATCGGTTTATAGTTGTTTATTGATTGTTTTGAGAATTTTAAACTAAGATTTTGGTTGGAAAATGTATCATTCAAGATATATAGAATGTTTTTACCGATTAAATTTAAGTTAAATAACTTATTTGGGTTACTTAATGTATTATTGATATTTTAATCGGTTTAAAATGTAAAATAGGTTAAGACTATATCATTAGAAAAATTTTGAAACTGGAAACTTAAGTTAGAAATTGAGATTCTTACAATATTAGATAAAAACAATATTTTATAAATATTTATAATTTAAATGAGTTATTTGGATAGAGAAAAATTGTTATTTGAAGTAAGAATTTTTGGATAGTAAATATATGTATAGATATTATTAATAATAAATTCTATGTAATTTAAGTTAATTATTTGTATGTATATTAAATTGTATCTATATTATTTGTAGATTATCTTGTACTTCAGAGTTTGTAATTTGCACTCTTATTTCTCAAGCTGTGAGGTTAAGCTTGGAGTAGAGGTAACCGGGGTCAATTTATTTTATATACACGCTTTGGATTGTAAGGTGTTTATTATGTTTTTATTTTCTTAGTTAATTTGTAAAAGTATGCCTGTGAATAAAATATATATTTTATTATATGACAAATTTTGGTGAAGTAGGAAGTATGTTGATCTAATTATGTTTGAGTTGTGTTTTATTGGAAATTGTGTTTTCGTGTAGTACTGAACTTAATATACTAATATTATGTTATTAAATGAAATGAAAATGTGTTATACTTTGTTTGAAATTATATCATCTTACTTTGAAGATTGTGATATTTTGATTTATATTGTGACTATGCATGGGGTTCATATGTGGAGGATGGGATTTTGTTATGTGGAGGATAATTGTTCTTGAAGCCCGCGCGGCATGCCTACACTACGGATCCCAGTGTTGGCCTTATTGTTAGACCCCTGTAGTTCTTCCTTTTCCTTGGCCTGGAATTGAGAATGAACTCTTGGGTAGACACCTCTTGCACCATAGTCCATTCTTGGACGATGTAGGTACAGGAGGGGGCCCGTTGCTTGATGTGAGTGGGGTGACCTTTGGCCGGGTTACTCAGCACAGAAAGCCCGGGTCCTTGTCAAGGAGTCATAAGGAGGAGAAAGGTGATGGGATGGCATATTTCATTGTGTTGTTGCATATATATACTTTTATATGAATTGTGTTGTGGATGGAGAGATATACTCTTTTTATATGATTGTATCTATTAAAGTATCATTTATCTCTTAAACTATATTTAAGCACTACTTCACCTACTTACCATCCTACTTGTATATGTCATAAATTAATACTTGGTTACTGGGACTTTACGTCTCACCCCGCTATTCATCAATACTTTTCAGGAGAGCCATCTAGTTTGGCTCGACGTGAAGGGAAGAAACCAGAGGCATAGGCGAGCATAGCCTAGTAGTCCTCTTCTAGTTTAGGCATGTAATGTTATGTATATTGCCATCTTAGGGCCCACAACTGTGTTGACATATACTTTCTTTTGTTTGGATGACTGTATTTGATGGAATGCTGTTAAAATGGCTGAAGACCATAAGACTCTACTGTATGTGATACTCTTATGTGTATGCCTTATGGGCTGGGTTGAGCAACCTATGTTTCTTGTGCCCTAAGTCTTTGGGGGATGAATATTATGTTGGGCTTGTGGGCGGTTACTGTGCCCTGAGGCTTTGTTCTACGTTGTTAAATCCATGGGTGTTTTAGGTATCCTGAGCTACTTGAGACGTTTTCGAAATAAGTCAAACTCTTTATAACCATGGTAGTATTTTAACACTCTAACTCAATTCTTTTTCTACCATGGTTATCATTTTAAAAATAGCTTTATAATTATGTATTAAGAAGAGGTCTTTTCAATTTGCCTCAACTTCTTCTATCCTTCCCCTCAATCAGAATTAATGTGTTGCTGGATCATACGATTGAATGAAAGCTACAATTAACTCACGTGGGAGTCTGTCACAATCCACATTCAACAACTTAGAGAATCCTATGTTCTCTATCCTGTCTTAAACTTTCATCACTTTTAACAAATTCTGCCAATGATAAGAATTGACGAACAGAGCAATGGGTGAACATTTTCCATATTCTCTTACTTTTCTTCTTCTCCAGCCTCATTTGTTTGGCCCTTTCACTATATATTTCCTTCTCCTTGATAGACAGCCTTGCCCATGCCTCTTTCACCTTATTAGTTCTATTTACTGCATCCTTGAATTTTTGCCCTTGAGCAAATTCCTCTCTAAATAAGACATTCCCATTCCTTGGCCCTTTTGAAGTTGATGTCTCTCCCTCCAATACCATTTTTTTCTGCACATTACACATTAATAAAAGTATGTCAGAAAACAATTATTGAGGGTGGGGTTATAAGCTAAAAAGCATTAGGCAAAACGTTACAAGCTTAAAATTGGAGTTATACGGCATTTTTCCAGAACAACACAATTCACAAGCTTTCATTCATACGATTCAAATACATCCAATCCAAACATCCAAACGACATAAACTGTTTCAATAATTCATAGTTCAAGGAAGCACTGGCTATCTAAAATGTAATTTGTAACATTTCATAATTAAGAGTGCGATTAATCTCTTCACATGGGTTTCATTTGAGGAATATTAAAAATATAATAAAAGTTGGGAACTTGTGATTGATAATGACACAATTATATAGGATAAAGTTCTGATTGTATATTAATCCTATATTAAAATATACACTGGCAAATATAACTCCAACAGAGGAACACACGAAGCAAACATAACACATGAACAAGTAAACAACAGAAACATATAAGCTCTAATTTGAAGATAAATATTTGTGCTATTGACATAAGTTGGAGACACAGCATCACCTTTCTCACTGGAGACAGAAGTTGGAGACACAAAGGGATGCAGTGTTGGCGACGGAGCTGAAGAATAACACAAATAAGTTGGCTTAGTGGACTGCCCAAACTCTGCAACCCAAATTAATTCTTATTATCAGAAAGAAAACTGGAATAAATAGCCAAACATGAGCGAAGCCGTGATTTAGCACAACACATTTCTTTAAGGTAGTTTAGTTCTAAATCCAATGCTACCAAAGTATTCTCTCTACATTGGAATGCGTTTGATCATGTCCAAACCAACCAATTGAACTTAATCTTAAAACAAAATACAAAAATCATGCAGAACCAAAATAAAAACTATAAGTAAGAATAATGAATATGGAGCCGAGATGAACCAAGATGGATAGCTTGTAATCTTTTGTTGTTGTTGTTGTTGTTGTTTCCTTTAGAATTTTGTGCAACAAGTATCGAATTCCTGTCAACTTTCCTTCGTTTTCTACAGATTCATACCGCAGGATATCAGAATTCGAACCTTGTGTGAGGAGGAAGGACGGAGATGGAGTTGAGATTGGAGACCCAGTCTTAGACTCTACCTTCACTACCCATCAACAAAAACAGAGAAGGAAGGAATGTTAAGAAACTTACCTCTGTCTCACTGCAAATTGCTCCTCTTCTCTCTTCCTCGCCTTCAATCGATTGCCACAACGTAACCGTTCGGTCACTCTATTCCTTTCTCTTCTTCGACGGTGACCACCTAACGCTCTTCCTTCTTCTCTTCTCTCTTCTTCCATGCCGGTAGCTTCC